CCTTCTCTGAACTCTTTCCAACAGTTCAATGTAAGGGAAGGAGTCCAAAACTGAACATAAATGTTCCAAATGTGGCCTAACCGATGACCTATATAATATGAAATTATAGCCTCTTTAGACTTGTATTCAGTATTTTTGTAGACACAACCTCAAATCCTATTTGCCTCTATATGTCATTGATGGAGCAAAGGTCTTAACCACTCTTCATTTTTTTTTATTTGCCACCAGAAAATAAGATTACAATTCAACACAGAAAAATTACAAGCTATTGACAAAACATCTGATCAACTAAAATACACAGAATGACAGACTGATTTATGTATGACCACATTTACCATGGCAATCTTCAGCACCACTCAGTGTCAATCATTTTGATTCACTATGAGAATGATATTACAATTAATTCTAACTGGGTTTGAGTTGGTAATATACATAAACAAACTCAAATGAAAATTCAACTAAATAACAGATGAAATAGTACATAAAATATGAGCATAATAATTAACAAATACAATGGAATACCATTTTACAGTTAATTTCAAGCATTCAATCTTTATATAAAATATTTTAGTAAAACCAATGTAACTTAATTTCCCACCTGAAACATTTTGAGGGTAAAAACAAAAGATCAGCACATGATAGAAAGTTTATGTTTAATAATAACAAAGTTTTATTACATTAGTAAACAACCAATAAAAATTTCCACCAACAATGTAACAAGTGTAATTTATTGAAAAAGAAAATTTTTGATATATCAAGAGCAACTTGAATACTTTGTATTCATATCTTGAAAGCTGAGTAACATTTTATATACTAAATGTATAATAAGAGTTAGAGCAAACACAATGCAAAACTAAAACAGAGATGAATAGAAACAGGTAAAAACAAAACAAAAAAACATCAAAGCAGAAAGAAGATAAATTTCAAATCAACTATAAAATAGCCAAAGAATAATAATCCAAAAGTAAATAACTTAATTGGAGAATAAGACAGACTTTAGCACTGGAAAATGATTACATAAACATAAATACATACATACATGTATACATACACACACACACACATATAGCATATAATAGCTCATAACAAGAAATTTAGTGAAAAAAGGGTGTAGGAATAATATCCAGAAGAGGTTAAGACAATGGGCTAGACGGCCAAAGTTGCAAAATTATAAGCAAACACAAGTTTTCCAAAGTAAAAAGAACAAATATTTTAGTAAACACACTTCAATTAAGAAAGGAAACAGTAAGTCCACATATGAATCATTACCAATCAGCTATAAAAGAAACTATATAGAAGTGCAACAATGGTTTATCCATACAGAAAACATCCATTATGTACATTATAATATTATCCAATTATACACAGTTGTCCACCTAACTTAACAAACAACTGTTTGAATGACATTATAAAGAATACTATATGTGTATATGTGGCCAAGTTCTGACAGGAGCAAAAAGCCTAGATATAACTGACATAGCAGGAGATATAATAAAGGGGGCTAGCAGAGATGCAGTTTTTGTGGTGCATATAGGGGCTAATGATGTAGGGAAAGGTAAGTCAGAGGAGCTAATTAATAAGTAAAAGAGGTTGATAAAGGCATTTAAAGAAAAAGGCCATAACTTAATTTTGTCAGGGATACTCCCCAGAATTAATTGTGGGGATGAAGTTATAAGTGGGTCACTAAGGCTAAATACTAGGCTTATGTTAGTATGTAAGGATGAGCAGATTGGCTGGTTGGAGTTGTGGGATCAGTTCAGTGGAAGAAGGGAGCTTTCTGGAAAGGATGGTTTACATTTAAATAGAGTAGGGGCTGGCTTTTTTGCTAAGGCTATTAACCCAGCTGTAAAGGAAGTTTTAAACTAGGACTAGACAGTGGTGAGGACCAGGATAAAGTAAATGCAAAAAGAATAAGAGGCAGATAAAAGTTGAGCATAGGAAATGAGTATAGAAGTAGTTATAAGGATATGCTTAATTGTTACTATTGTAATGCTAGAAGAATAAGAAATAAAATAGATGACTTTAGGGCACTGGGAGGAATGGAGGATTTTCAATATAATGGAAATAATTGAAACATGGTTAAATGTAGATGATGTTGATGACAGAAGTTTCTTTGAAATAGAGTTATAGGTTATTTAACAGGGATAGAGTACTAAAGAGAAGGGTAGGAGTGACTATATGTAAAATGTGAGTTATATTCTGTTGAAGTGGAGGATATTAAAGATAATAATAGCAAGGTTTCTCTTAATGGATATAAAGGGAAAAAGCTTTTAGTGAGGATTTGTTACAGATCACCAAATGATACTGATGAAATTAGTGAGAAACTTTACAATGAAATTAAGATTTCAGCTGTTAATGAAGTCATAATTATGGGTGATTTTAATTTCAGGC